AATGTTGTTTTCTTTGCCTAAAAATTACAAGAGATCGTCGTGATTTCCTTCGGTACACAAGCTGTTTACGTAAAATAAACTAACACAGTTATAAACCGTCGTCGGTAACGACACAAACCAGCTTGCTCTCTTAATTCTGCCACAACAACAACGTACAACAACAACAGTTTATTCACTAACTAATTAAAGACAAAAGCTTTACAGTATTGTATGCCCCGCAAAGAGCTATGAGGTTAATCTAGACGGGAAAAAAAATAATTTCCCTGTATAAGTAACGACTGCGCTGCTGTAAAGTCACTAAAAAAAAAAAAAAACTGGCGTGGACGCACCCAGTAAATAAAGCGCTGAATCGATTTCAGGTGTATGTTGACTTGTTGATATGTATATAAACCTTCAGCAATGATCGTAATGAAAACAAATTCTCTTATCACGTATTGGTCAGAGCTTTTCATACATTTGTTGGCTCCTAAAAGAGCCGTTGGTTTAAGTGTTGATCAGGGATTACAGTGTATTCTAACCCCCAAAACCGTACAGAGTACGTCCTTGTCGTTTCAGAGCGTATACTACGTCCATGGCTGTAACGGTCTTACGCTTGGCGTGCTCGGTGTAGGTCACGGCATCGCGGATAACGTTCTCAAGGAAAACTTTTTCAGAACACCGCGTGTCTCCTCGTAGATCAGTCCAGAAATTCGCTTTACACCCCCACGGCGAGCGAGACGACGGATCGCTGGCTTGGTAATTCCTTGGATATTATCGCGTAGAATCTTACGATGACGCTTAGCACCACCTTTGCCCAAGCCTTTACCTCCTTTGCCGCGACCGGACATTCTCGGTTGTCTGAATTATCGTCAAGGTTTAAAAAGGGAAAGGTCTCGCTCTATGTTAAATTACTGCAGAACAGAAATTACTTTTCAATCTATACCCTTCAATCTGACCTCTCGGGAAACATTATTTCTTGTATTTACATAGATTTGTTCTTAGTAAAAGGACAACAAAAGAATATTATAATTTTCTTTCGCCCCACTGTCTATTGTAAGGCATGCAAATCAAAGCAGGGTGTCTCCGAAGCCGAACCAATCAGAAATGCATAAATCCTTAAATATCCAATCGGCTTGCGACAGCCTCCTGATAAATCGCGGCCATAAAAATTGCCCAGCTTTCACATAGAGCCTTTAATCTTCTGAACATCAGTTTCACAGTCATGGCCCGAACCAAGCAAACAGCGAGAAAGTCCACCGGAGGAAAAGCGCCTCGTAAACAGCTGGCTACTAAGGCAGCTCGAAAGAGCGCTCCTGCTACTGGTGGCGTGAAAAAACCGCACCGTTACAGGCCAGGAACAGTGGCCCTCAGAGAGATCCGTCGTTATCAGAAGTCCACCGAGTTGCTGATTCGCAAGTTACCGTTTCAGCGTCTTGTTCGAGAAATCGCTCAGGATTTCAAGACCGACTTGCGCTTTCAAAGCTCAGCCGTGCTGGCTCTTCAAGAGGCTAGCGAAGCCTACCTGGTCGGTCTTTTCGAGGACACCAACCTTTGCGCCATTCACGCTAAACGTGTCACCATCATGCCTAAAGATATCCAGTTGGCTCGTAGGATCCGGGGCGAACGTGCATAACAGCTCAGCTCGGTTCTGACAATCTCACATTACAAACGGCCTTTTAGGAGCCACCACCTGACAATAAAAGTTAATGGCCAATAAACTACTTCTTACCTTGTCTCTACTTATTTCTTTATTAGTTACTAGTGAAATGAGACAGAAATAATTCTCATACTCCACGCCGTTACAAGTTTTTCGCGATAAGGACACAGTAGAGTACTAGTATCCCTAAGCTTACCAAAAAATTAGTGATTGCGCCCAACAACTCCTTATTCGTTCAGTCTATCTCTCTGCCTGTCTTCCTATGTTGACGTTTACAATCCATCTCATTTTCAAAGAACTTAGCAAACATCTTAGAGGTAACAGATCTATCGCGATCAGTAGTAACTGATCCCTCTGCGGTCCGCTATAACAACTTAAGAAAAGAGTTGCGCAAGTAACCAACATTAGCTATCGCTGTGGAGACTATAACGAGACATGTCTGTCAAAAGCACCCAGAAGAAAGCTTCTAAACAGCCGGCCGAACACCCTAAGTATGCAGAAATGATCATACAAACCCTTCACGCCCTGAAAGATCGTAATGGTTCTTCACGTCAGGCTGTCGACAAGTACGTTAAGAACCATTTCAAAGTGGGAGACAAAGCAAGTCATTTTATTAAAATGGCTCTTAAGAGAGGCGTGGAGAATGGTCAATTTATCAACACCAAAGGGTCCGGAGCTTCAGGTTCTTTCAAGGTCAACAAAGAAGTAAAGAAAGCAAAGGCAGCCAAAGACCTGGCGAAGAAGACCAAAACCGCCGATCCAGCCAACAAACCAAAAATAAAGAAGGTCGCCGCGAAAGAAAAGACCGCCCGCAAACCAGCGAGAAAACCAAGAAATCGCCGGGTAAGAAAGTTTCCAGCAGCAAGAAGAAGACACCTCTCGTGCCAAAGAAGACTGCCACAAAGAAGCCGTTGCCTAAGAAAGCGAAAGAAAGCAAAGCCTCGGTTAAAAAATCAGCCAACAAGAAAGTCAGTGGCAAGTAAAACTCGCCCACTTATTCAACTACCGGCTCCTTTAGGAGCCACCAAATAAAGAAAAGTCATCACCAATATCACCTCTAGTATGTTGACCTTAGGTCACCTTCACCTATAGCACAGTATTTATTTCTCCTTTGCCGAAACTGATTTCGTTTTTGTTAAGCAGAAGGTTACTTGAACCGCGGCTTAGAGACGCCTTAAAAAGAGTAAACAAAAGCCACTCCATAAGATCAGATCAGATCAGATCAGATAAGATAAATACTTTTTATTCGAAGTGGTCAGTACATGCACCTTGGTCAAGAAACTGGTTATCAGGTACCCGGGTAATGAAAACTACCGTAAACGTCAATATTCAATAGTAAGAATCCCTCCCGCTTAACTGATTTGAAGTATTAAAACCCTTACATCCCGGAAAATATATATTTGCAGCCTGGTAAACCGTTTTCTTGTTCTCAAGTGCAGTACCGAAATGACCTGTTCATGCCTGTAACACTTTTAAGTAACGTTGTTTTACGAACTACTTCAGTTGATTCTCTGGCGTGGTGTAGTGGTCATCGCGCTGGGAAGGAGATCGTGCGGAAACTGTTGGGTTCGGTGCGTGTTGTCAACCAGCAATCGTTTATTTGTTTCTTTTTTTTTTTCTTCTTTTCTCTTTGCTTACATAAAAATCATCTTTTAAAACCTTTATCTGTGTGTTTTTTTATGTAAAAAGTAAAGTTGAACGGGTAAATAGAGGAATGATTTGTTCGTTCCTTGACATTTTTTAATGGGAGCAAGTGTGCGAAGAGTTTCAGGGTTTATAATGACGATTGAAAACTCTAAGAAACTGTGTTGATCATTGCTTTTTTTGACATTTGGTGGCTCCTAAAAGAGCCGTTGTTTAGATCTGGTATTGAAGAATGGACTTCACTTGCTACTAGTGTACTTCGTGACGGCCTTGGTACCCTCACTGACTGCGTGCTTTGCGAGTTCTCCTGGAAGGAGCAGTCTGATGGCTGTCTGAATCTCGCGGGAGCTGATAGTGGACTTCTTGTTGTAGTGGGCTAGACGGGAGGATTCTGTAGCAATGCGCTCAAAGATATCGTTCACGAAAGAGTTCATGATACCCATTGCTTTGCTGGAGATTCCGGTGTCAGGATGTACCTGCTTCAACACTTTGTAGATGTAGATCGCATAACTCTCCTTCCGTTTCGATCGCCGTTTTTTCGTACTGTCGCCCGACGTGGATTTTGCCTTACCGCCGCTCTTCTTCTCTCCCTTTTTAGCTGCAATCGGTTTAGGTGCCATGGTAAAGAAAGATATCTCTGCCTTTTCGAAATAGAGTTTGGTAATTCGGGATATCACAGTTTCTATTTATGTTGCCAAATTCAATAGGATCAATTAATATGCGGATCGCAAGTTCTCGTCGGTGATTGGTGTCTTTTTTTTTTCTCGGTGTAAACAATGGAGCGTGCCGCCAATCGACACAAAGAGAACAATTGCAAGGCTAGAATTTCTTTTATGAGCCAATGTAAGACTTTTGATTGGTGCAATCTGATCCACGAAACGCAGTCCGCGCGTGATAAATTATGGCGGCCGAAGTCATGTCTTGGAAAACAGTCTCCTGAAACTTAAACTGAAACTTAAGATACGAGTTACTCGACAAAATGACCGGACGAGGAAAAGGTAAAGCCCAGGGCACCAAGTCAAAGACTCGTTCTTCCAGGGCAGGTCTACAGTTTCCTGTTGGTCGCATCCATCGCCTTCTTCGTAAAGGCAACTACGCTGAACGCGTCGGAGCCGGTGCTCCCGTGTACTTGGCTGCCGTACTTGAGTATCTGAGTGCTGAGATCCTCGAGTTAGCAGGAAACGCAGCACGCGACAACAAGAAGTCAAGAATCATTCCTCGTCACCTCCAGTTGGCTGTGCGAAATGACGAAGAATTAAACAAACTCCTTGCCGGTGTCACCATCGCTCAAGGCGGTGTTCTTCCCAACATTCAGGCAGTATTACTACCTAAAAAGACAGAGAAGAAACAACACTAAGCGACGGCAAACCATAAATACAAACGGCTCTTTTAGGAGCCACCAAGTCTAGAATAAAGTCATGACCAATCACGATATAAATTTGTAATCTACCCCCCAAATAGTATTCGCCGTCTAAGTTTGGGGTTAATAACTCGATCGATACTTAGCCACAAATAATTATGTCTCGCGGAAACTCGCTATTTCTATTTGTTTTTGCATGGTTCCATGTTGCTAGTTTTGTTCATAAATGCGTATACCAAAGCATATTTAGCGCTATTTCGGCTATCGCATGTAAGAAACAAACAACAGCAACCACAGCATTGCTTGAAAACTGAAACCAGTCTTAGGTCAGTTTAGCTCGGTGTAACATGAATTTAAAGACTGATGTGATTATATCATGAAAGTTGAAATTGCGTTTGCTTTCTATGCAGGTTTCATTCGCGCTGTTTCCAACAGGTTTTTATACGAACTTCGAGGTACATACCAAGCGACAATCGAACAACTTTCTGCTCTTTTTAAACGAGTACACAATTAATCGCATTCCTACCAACCGGGAACAAACATTGCTGCTACTACTGAGCTTGAAATGTTGTTTTCTTTGCCTAAAAATTACAAGAGATCGTCGTGATTTCCTTCGGTACACAAGCTGTTTACGTAAAATAAACTAACACAGTTATAAACCGTCGTCGGTAACGACACAAACCAGCTTGCTCTCTTAATTCTGCCACAACAACAACGTACAACAACAGTTTATTCACTAACTAAAGACAAAAGCTTTACAGTATTGTATGCCCCGCAAAGAGCTATGAGGCTAATCTAGACGGGAAAAAAATAATTTCCCTGTATAAGTAACGACTGCGCTGCTGTAAAGTCACTAAAAAAGAAAAAACTGGCGTGGACGCACCCAGTAAATAAAGCGCTGAATCGATTTCAGGTGTATGTTGACTTGTTGATCATTTGTTGGCTCCTAAAAGAGCCGTTGGTTTAAGTGTTGATCAGGGATTACAGTGTATTCTAACCCCCAAAACCGTACAGAGAAATCGCTCAGGATTTCAAGACCGACTTGCGCTTTCAAAGCTCAGCCGTGCTGTGCGTGCCGTGCTCAACAACAACGTACAACAACAGTTTATTCACTAACTAAAGACAAAAGCTTTACAGTATTGTATGCCCCGCAAAGAGCTATGAGGCTAATCTAGACGGGAAAAAAATAATTTCCCTGTATAAGTAACGACTGCGCTGCTGTAAAGTCACTAAAAAAGAAAAAACTGGCGTGGACGCACCCAGTAAATAAAGCGCTGAATCGATTTCAGGTGTATGTTGACTTGTTGATATGTATATAAACCTTCAGCAATGATCGTAATGAAAACAAATTCTCTTATCACGTATTGGTCAGAGCTTTTCATACATTTGTTGGCTCCTAAAAGAGCCGTTGGTTTAAGTGTTGATCAGGGATTACAGTGTATTCTAACCCCCAAAACCGTACAGAGTACGTCCTTGTCGTTTCAGAGCGTATACTACGTCCATGGCTGTAACGGTCTTACGCTTGGCGTGCTCGGTGTAGGTCACGGCATCGCGGATAACGTTCTCAAGGAAAACTTTCAGAACACCGCGTGTCTCCTCGTAGATCAGTCCAGAAATTCGCTTTACACCCCCACGGCGAGCGAGACGACGGATCGCTGGCTTGGTAATTCCTTGGATATTATCGCGTAGAATCTTACGATGACGCTTAGCACCACCTTTGCCCAAGCCTTTACCTCCTTTGCCGCGACCGGACATTCTCGGTTGTCTGAATTATCGTCAAGGTTTAAAAAGGGAAAGGTCTCGCTCTATGTTAAATTACTGCAGAACAGAAATTACTTTTCAATCTATACCCTTCAATCTGACCTCTCGGGAAACATTATTTCTTGTATTTACATAGATTTGTTCTTAGTAAAAGGACAACAAAAAGAATATTATAATTTTCTTTCGCCCCACTGTCTATTGTAAGGCATGCAAATCAAAGCAGGGTGTCTCCGAAGCCGAACCAATCAGAAATGCATAAATCCTTAAATATCCAATCGGCTTGCGACAGCCTCCTGATAAATCGCGGCCATAAAAATTGCCCAGCTTTCACATAGAGCCTTTAATCTTCTGAACATCAGTTTCACAGTCATGGCCCGAACCAAGCAAACAGCGAGAAAGTCCACCGGAGGAAAAGCGCCTCGTAAACAGCTGGCTACTAAGGCAGCTCGAAAGAGCGCTCCTGCTACTGGTGGCGTGAAAAAACCGCACCGTTACAGGCCAGGAACAGTGGCCCTCAGAGATCCGTCGTTATCAGAAGTCCACCGAGTTGCTGATTCGCAAGTTACCGTTTCAGCGTCTTGTTCGAGAAATCGCTCAGGATTTCAAGACCGACTTGCGCTTTCAAAGCTCAGCCGTGCTGGCTCTTCAAGAGGCTAGCGAAGCCTACCTGGTCGGTCTTTTCGAGGACACCAACCTTTGCGCCATTCACGCTAAACGTGTCACCATCATGCCTAAAGATATCCAGTTGGCTCGTAGGATCCGGGGCGAACGTGCATAACAGCTCAGCTCGGTTCTGACAATCTCACATTACAAACGGCTCCTTTAGGAGCCACCACCTGACAATAAAAGTTAATGGCCAATAAACTACTTCTTACCTTGTCTCTACTTATTTCTTTATTAGTTACTAGTGAAATGAGACAGAAATAATTCTCATACTCCACGCCGTTACAAGTTTTTCGCGATAAGGACACAGTAGAGTACTAGTATCCCTAAACTTACCAAAAAATTAGTGATTGCGCCCAACAACTCCTTATAACAACTTAAGAAAAGAGTTGCGCAAGTAACCAACATTAGCTATCGCTGTGGAGACTATAACGAGACATGTCTGTCAAAAGCACCCAGAAGAAAGCTTCTAAACAGCCGGCCGAACACCCTAAGTATGCAGAAATGATCATACAAGCCCTTCACGCCCTGAAAGATCGTAATGGTTCTTCACGTCAGGCTGTCGACAAGTACGTTAAGAACCATTTCAAAGTGGGAGACAAAGCAAGTCATTTTATTAAAATGGCTCTTAAGAGAGGCGTGGAGAATGGTCAATTTATCAACACCAAAGGGTCCGGAGCTTCAGGTTCTTTCAAGGTCAACAAAGAAGTAAAAAAGCAAAGGCAGCCAAAGACCTGGCGAAGAAGACCAAAACCGCCGATCCAGCCAACAAACCAAAAATAAAGAAGGTCGCCGCGAAAGAAAAGACCGCCCGCAAACCAGCCGAGAAAACCAAGAAATCGCCGGGTAAGAAAGTTTCCAGCAGCAAGAAGAAGACACCTCTCGTGCCAAAGAAGACTGCCACAAAGAAGCGTTGCCTAAGAAAGCGAAAGAAAGCAAAGCCTCGGTTAAAAAATCAGCCAACAAGAAAGTCAGTGGCAAGTAAAACTCGCCCACTTATTCAACTACCGGCTCCTTTAGGAGCCACCAAATAAAGAAAAGTCATCACCAATATCACCTCTAGTATGTTGACCTTAGGTCACCTTCACCTATAGCACAGTATTTATTTCTCCTTTGCCGAAACTGATTTCGTTTTTGTTAAGCAGAAGGTTACTTGAACCGCGGCTTAGAGACGCCTTAAAAGAGTAAACAAAAGCCACTCCATAAGATCAGATCAGATCAGATCAGATAAGATAAATACTTTTTATTCGAAGTGGTCAGTACATGCACCTTGGTCAAGAAACTGGTTATCAGGTACCCGGGTAATGAAAACTACCGTAAACGTCAATATTCAATAGTAAGAATCCCTCCCGCTTAACTGATTTGAAGTATTAAAACCCTTACATCCCGGAAAATATATATTTGCAGCCTGGTAAACCGTTTTCTTGTTCTCAAGTGCAGTACCGAAATGACCTGTTCATGCCTGTAACACTTTTAAGTAACGTTGTTTTACGAACTACTTCAGTTGATTCTCTGGCGTGGTGTAGTGGTCATCGCGCTGGGAAGGAGATCGTGCGGAAACTGTTGGGTTCGGTGCGTGTTGTCAACCAGCAATCGTTTATTTGTTTCTTTTTTTTTTCTTCTTTTCTCTTTGCTTACATAAAAATCATCTTTTAAAACCTTTATCTGTGTGTTTTTTATGTAAAAAGTAAAGTTGAACGGGTAAATAGAGGAATGATTTGTTCGTTCCTTGACATTTTTAATGGGAGCAAGTGTGCGAAGAGTTTCAGGGTTTATAATGACGATTGAAAACTCTAAGAAACTGTGTTGATCATTGCTTTTTTTTGACATTTGGTGGCTCCTAAAAGAGCCGTTGTTTAGATCTGGTATTGAAGAATGGACTTCACTTGCTACTAGTGTACTTCGTGACGGCCTTGGTACCCTCACTGACTGCGTGCTTTGCGAGTTCTCCTGGAAGGAGCAGTCTGATGGCTGTCTGAATCTCGCGGGAGCTGATAGTGGACTTCTTGTTGTAGTGGGCTCGACGGGAGGATTCTGTAGCAATGCGCTCAAAGATATCGTTCACGAAAGAGTTCATGATACCCATTGCTTTGCTGGAGATTCCGGTGTCAGGATGTACCTGCTTCAACACTTTGTAGATGTAGATCGCATAACTCTCCTTCCGTTTCGATCGCCGTTTTTTCGTACTGTCGCCCGACGTGGATTTTGCCTTACCGCCGCTCTTCTTCTCTCCCTTTTAGCTGCAATCGGTTTAGATGCCATGGTAAAGAAAGATATCTCTGCCTTTTCGAAATAGAGTTTGGTAATTCGGGATATCACAGTTTCTATTTATGTTGCCAAATTCAATAGGATCAATTAATATGCGGATCGCAAGTTCTCGTCGGTGATTGGTGTTTTTTTTTCTCGGTGTAAACAATGGAGCGTGCCGCCAATCGACACAAAGAGAACAATTGCAAGGCTAGAATTTCTTTTATGAGCCAATGTAAGACTTTTGATTGGTGCAATCTGATCCACGAAACGCAGTCCGCGCGTGATAAATTATGGCGGCCGAAGTCATGTCTTGGAAAACAGTCTCCTGAAACTTAAACTGAAACTTAAGATACGAGTTACTCGACAAAATGACCGACGAGGAAAGGTAAAGCCCAGGGCACCAAGTCAAAGACTCGTTCTTCCAGGGCAGGTCTACAGTTTCCTGTTGGTCGCATCCATCGCCTTCTTCGTAAAGGCAACTACGCTGAACGCGTCGGAGCCGGTGCTCCGTGTACTTGGCTGCCGTACTTCGAGTATCTGGTGCTACGAGATCCTCGGTTAGCAGGAAACGCAGCACGCGACAACAAAAGTCAAGAATCATTCCTCGTCACCCAGTTGGCTGTGCGAAATGACGAAGAATTAAACAAACTCCTTGCCGGTGTCACCATCGCTCAAAGGCGGTGTTCTTCTTCCCAACATTCAGGCAGTATTACTACCTAAAAAGACAGAAGAAGAAACAACACTAAGCGACGGCAACAACCATAAATACAAACAGCTCTTTTTAGGGAGCCACTAAGTCTAGAATAAAGTCATGACCAATCACGATATAAATTTGTAATCTACCCCCAAATAGTATTCATAAATCCTAAGTTTGGGGGTTAATAACTCGATCGATACTTAGCCACAAATAATTATGTCTCACTTGGAAACTCGCTATTTCCTTTTGTTTTGCATGGTTCCATGTTGCTAGTTTTGTTCATAAAATGCGTATACCAAAGCATATTTAAAAGCGCTATTTCGGCTATCGCATGTAAGAAACAAACAACAGCAACCACAGCATGTTTGAAAACTGGAAACCAGTCTTAGGTCAGTTTAGCTCGGTGTAACATGAATTTAAAGACTGATGTGATTATATCATGAAAGTTGAAATTGCGTTTGCTTTCTATGCAGGTTTCATTCGCGCTGTTTCCAACAGGTTTTTATACGAACTTCGAGGTACATACCAAGCGACAATCGAACAACTTTCTGCTCTTTTTAAACGAGTACACAATTAATCGCATTCCTACCAACCGGGAACAAACATTGCTGCTACTACTGAGCTTGAAATGTTGTTTTCTTTGCCTAAAAATTACAAGAGATCGTCGTGATTTCCTTCGGTACACAAGCTGTTTACGTAAAATAAACTAACACAGTTATAAACCGTCGTCGGTAACGACACAAACCAGCTTGCTCTCTTAATTCTGCCACAACAACAACGTACAACAACAGTTTATTCACTAACTAATTAAAAACAAAAGCTTTACAGTATTGTATGCCCCAAAAGAGCTATGAGGCTAATCTAGACGGGAAAAAAAATAATTTCCCTGTATAAGTAACGACTGCGCTGCTGTAAAGTCACTAAAAAGAAAAAACTGGCGTGGACGCACCCAGTAAATAAAGCGCTGAATCGATTTCAGGTGTATGTTGACTTGTCTAACCCCCAAAACCGTACAGAGAAATCGCTCAGGATTTCAAGACCGACTTGCGCTTTCAAAGCTCAGCCGTGCTGTGCGTGCCGTGCTCAACAACAACGTACAACAACAGTTTATTCACTAACTAAAGACAAAAGCTTTACAGTATTGTATGCCCCGCAAAGAGCTATGAGGCTAATCTAGACGGGAAAAAAAAATTTCCTGTATAAGTAACGACTGCGCTGCTGTAAAGTCACTAAAAAAAAAAAACTGGCGTGGACGCACCCAGTAAATAAAGCGCTGAATCGATTTCAGGTGTATGTTGACTTGTTGATATGTATATAAACCTTCAGCAATGATCGTAATGAAAACAAATTCTCTTATCACGTATTGGTCAGAGCTTTTCATACATTTGTTGGCTCCTAAAAGAGCCGTTGGTTTAAAAGTGTTGATCAGGGATTACAGTGTATTCTAACCCCCAAAACCGTACAGAGTACGTCCTTGTCGTTTCAGAGCGTATACTACGTCCATGGCTGTAACGGTCTTACGCTTGGCGTGCTCGGTGTAGGTCACGGCATCGCGGATAACGTTCTCAAGGAAAACTTTCAGAACACCGCGTGTCTCCTCGTAGATCAGTCCAGAAATTCGCTTTACACCCCCACGGCGAGCGAGACGACGGATCGCTGGCTTGCTAATTCCTTGGATATTATCGCGTAGAATCTTACGATGACGCTTAGCACCACCTTTGCCCAAGCCTTTACCTCCTTTGCCGCGACCGGACATTCTCGGTTGTCTGAATTATCGTCAAGGTTTAAAAAGGGAAAGGTCTCGCTCTATGTTAAATTACTGCAGAACAGAAATTACTTTTCAATCTATACCCTTCAATCTGACCTCTCGGGAAACATTATTTCTTGTATTTACATAGATTTGTTCTTAGTAAAAGGACAACAAAAGAATATTATAATTTTCTTTCGCCCCACTGTCTATTGTAAGGCATGCAAATCAAAGCAGGGTGTCTCCGAAGCCGAACCAATCAGAAATGCATAAATCCTTAAATATCCAATCGGCTTGCGACAGCCTCCTGATAAATCGCGGCCATAAAATTGCCCAGCTTTCACATAGAGCCTTTAATCTTCTGAACATCAGTTTCACAGTCATGGCCCGAACCAAGCAAACAGCGAAAAGTCCACCGGAGGAAAAGCGCCTCGTAAACAGCTGGCTACTAAGGCAGCTCGAAAGAGCGCTCCTGCTACTGGTGGCGTGAAAAAACCGCACCGTTACAGGCCAGGAACAGTGGCCCTCAGAGAGATCCGTCGTTATCAGAAGTCCACCGAGTTGCTGATTCGCAAGTTACCGTTTCAGCGTCTTGTTCGAGAAATCGCTCAGGATTTCAAGACCGACTTGCGCTTTCAAAGCTCAGCCGTGCTGGCTCTTCAAGAGGCTAGCGAAGCCTACCTGGTCGGTCTTTTCGAGGACACCAACCTTTGCGCCATTCACGCTAAACGTGTCACCATCA